AGGCTTTCCAATGGCTTTATAAAGGACATTAGGAGGACACCATAACCCTTTGTTGAAATATGCCACTGACCGGTACATACTAATTCACCATGATGCAGTCCAGCCTACACTAATCCCTGTATCTTCACACTATTGGTAGTAGTATTTGCAGTAAAATTCTTTTAATTTCCGTGATTGGCAGAATTGAACTTGCGACCTCACCATACTCAGGCTTCACAAGAAGACTCATGGACTAACCAATGAGCCAAGGGTGATCAACTTTCACTTATCTTGTAATATATTAAATTGCCATATTATTTAATATCAAAATTATACAAAGTAAATAAATATTCTTTTTAATTATACCGTAGATAATTTGTAATCTATAAATTTATAATACTAGTCTTAATAATTTGTTAAATATAGTGCTAGAAGTCTATATTTAATATTAATCATGTAATTTTATTTCAATTTTTTAAGCTAATTCTGTATACAATTGAATTGAACTGAAAAAGAGATATATTTCATAAACAATATTGATGGATTAATTTTTAACAATGTAAGACAATTGAGGTATGTATTATGAATTTTTGTCAGTTTACTAGTAAAATTTCAGTAATATTATGTGGGATCTTATGTAATCCACCGATTTAATTTTGTCATACATAAAATTAATCATGCTATATATATAACATCGTTAATATGAAAGACAGAAGGGAATAACTAATTGGTTTGCAGTTTAAGAAAAAAAATTTTTGTTTATTTTTATATTTAAAGTATAAATGGAAAAACAATAGATTTATTTATTATATTGTAACTAAGGTTGCCTGCCTAAACCTCTCCAAAATTCTACAATTAGTTTCTCCAAAATTTTACTATAGTTTTATTATAATTTTGGCAAAGTTTTGGCAGTTTTGGCATTTATAATAAGTTTCGTCAGATTTTGCTTTTCTCCAGAATTTTGCCAACTTTTTAATAAAACTTTTATATAGTTTTGGCAAAATTTCACCATTTCAGCATTTTGCCAACTTGCCAAAACCTCTTGGTTTCTCCAGCAACCTTAATTGTAACGCTTTTGTTATATGATATTAGTGCAACATCGATCCTACACATAACATCGATAAGTTGTGTTTTTGACAACGATCCTAAAGGTAAATGAGTTCGACTTTGATCCTGTTGAATTGTTTGTTCGACAACAATCCTAGAGGTAAGTGAGTTTGATCTTAATCCTATTGGTTGTGAGTTCAACATCAGGTTACAATATCGTAGGGTAGAAAACAATTTTTTATTATGTAATACCCACATAATAATCCACCCACATACAAATTTCATCTTTACAAATGGACAATAATGCCTACAGATATAAATTGTCTGCATTGAATAAAGGTTCAGATCATTCAAAAACCACCTTCTTCTAAGAATCTTGTAATTTGATGAAACCAGAATGTTTAAAACTGCCATATATTTAATATCTCATGTTATATACTAAATTAAGGTTCAAGTTTGACAACTGCCAAAGCCGATGAATTGGGGATACATAAATTAGCTTGAGTTAATAGAAAATAATATGTATATATAGCATTTACAATTCGTATGTTTTTATATAAATCATTCACTTTCATTCATAAAATTTCATAATGAACGTATTCATTTATTTAATTTAAAAATCCTTAGTACATCATTATTAATACAGTACATACAGTACAATTCTTTAAACTATTCGTGGAGTTTTTTTTTTATATATTCACGCTCTTTTTTTTTAAATATATATATATATATATATACAATAGTTAATATTGATTTGTATTATTTTTATTAAATCAAAGTACCAATTATATGTGATTTCTTACCTTCATACCGGCGGCGGTATATCTATCACCAATAATTTCAAAAGAATCGATTATTTGTCTAATTTCAGATAATTCTTCGGGACTAAGTTGAATTTTTGCTGCTTCAAGATTTTCTTCTAAATATTTAATTTTTCTTGTACCAGGAATAGCAACGATATTATCACTCTATAAAAAAAACCATGAAAAGCATGAATTGTTATTTAAACTGATCATTCTCATAAAATATATTGAGAAGGAATAGAATTATGTTTTACCTGAGCTAGAACCCATGCCAAACAAAGTTGACTTGAAGTTAAACCTTTCTTACTTGCGAATTCGCTAAATTTATCTGCAAGTTCTAAATTTTTAGCAAAAGTTTCAGCTTGAAAACGAGGATGATTTCTCCTAATATCATCCGGATCAAAATCATCAATAGACCTAAATTTTCCCTACGATAAAAAAAAAATATGTATATATATTTTGTAATCTGGAAAATTCTTATTAAAAAAAAAAAATTCTAAATCATCTTAAAAATGATAAATACTGTTAGAAACCCACGTCCAAGCGCGCCATAAGCAACTATAGTGATACCCAATTCACGACAAGTTTCCATAATTCCGTTTGTTTCAATATCAAGAGTCCAAGGACTATATTCTATCTAATAAAGCGTAATGTTAAAAACAAAAGTATTATTTTTAAAAAAAACAAATATATTATGTATATTTACTTGAACTGCAGAAATAGGATGAACTTTATGAGCACGTCGAAGAGTCGCTGCAGAACATTCAGAAAGGCCAATGTATTTAATCTTTCCTTCCTTAACAAGTTCTGCTAAAGCACCAACAGTATCTTCAATGGGTCTATAATCAAGGTATTCAATGATATTAATCAACTATTTAATTCAACTTTTGGCAAAAGAAAAAATTTTATAATAAATACGTTTCAGGGTCCACACGATGTTGATAATAAAGGTCGATACAATCAATTTCCAATCTTTTCAAAGAATTTTCACAAGCCTGACGAGCATATTCAGGTTTGCCTGATACATTTGATACACCTACAAATTTAACATTTGAATTTCGAACTATACCAAACTTTGTACAAATAAACACTTCATCACGACGATCTTTAAGAATTTTTGAAATAAGAATCTCATTGGCTCCACACCCCATACGCATCCTTTTGATATAATAAAATTGATAAAAGTAATTTACGATGTAGTTTTTTTTTAAAAAAATAAATTTTTATATATGTTGGAAATTAGACACGAACAGAAGTATCCCAAAAGTTACATCCTAATTCCAACACTCGATTCAAAACCTTAATATTTTCTTGTTCATCAGATGAACCGTAAAACTCACTCATGCCCTTTTTATTAGAATCGAAAGGTTTATTAGACACGTGCATGATTAACTAAGAAGTATTAAATTATTAAACTTTACTATAAACATACCATACAACCCAGACCGATTACAGAAATTTTTACACCAGTTTTTCCAAGCTCACGAAGAGGAAGAGTCATTTTTAGAATTAACACCGGGTTGATGATTGCCGTTTTCCCGAAATACTAACCATATACAGTGACACCTCTATAAGTGCACCCTCTATAAAGTGCACGCACTATATAAATTCTCTTTAAGTGCACGGCGGGCCTAGTCCCAACTTATAAGAGCTCTTAATATTTTACTCTCTATAAATGCACACCCTTTCTAAGTGCACATTCTATTATTTTTTTACTATGATCCCAAGGGGGTGCACTTATTGTTTTAATACCGTAAGAAAAACAAATTTAAAAAAGGAAATTTTTATAATTCTGGCCAAAGTTATGTATAATTTAATAAAATTAAGTAATTGGCATAAAAATTTCCTTTTTTTGGGGACCGTTAAGGTAGAATCACGTTGTTACCCCTAGTCACGTGTAGAGTTACAACTTACTGCGCCAGAAGATCATGTGGAAAATTAGGATCTACTGTGCCCAACTGTGCCAAGCCGACCTAGCCGCAGCCTACTTAGCCTATTATTTCTATTATATTTATTATATTAATTATATTTAATATAATCGATATAATTATTTTATTTATTATATTTAATTTATTAGTTATATTTATTATATTAGTTATAT